CTTGTCAGTGCCAAAATCTAACAGTATACTGTTTCTTCCATAGCCACAGGGACAGCAAATACCCTGTTGTAGAAGAAAACTAAATTATGTAGACACAACTTGCTCTTGACAAACTCCTACTCATCTCCTTGCTGTATACTGGGAGTTTACAAACAATTTTCTATGGTTACTGAATTTGTGGGCACAGAATTCGCATCCTTCAACCTCCAGTCTTTCTCAGCTTGCACTGTTTAACTGACAGCCAGGTGTATGGTGATCCAAGATTTCCAACTGCCTGTCCTGGGGAAGCTTCCGCCTCGTAGGTTTGGAGAAAAAAGCAGGTTTGTGTGTGTTACAGCAAAGTAATTCCTCCACCTCTGGACCAGAAGCCTGTGGAACTCCTTCCATGTGTAACTGGCTCTGGATGCTGCAGCTGGTATGAGCCACAATCAAAGCCCATCCGGAGGGCTTGAGCATTGCTTTGGTTTCCTTCCTGGATAAGTTCTCTGTTATTTTAACAACAGGGTTCTGGAGACATCTTGTGTCAGAGATCTGGCTTCTCTAGCTGATCATCAGTCTTGCACAGCTTGTAGGACACTAAGGCTCTCTCCTCTGTCAGACTTGCTCAAAATAAGCCAGGAGCTCTGAAGTTACCAGGGAAATGCAGTGGTACAATGATGTTCCCCTTGTTTCCATGGGAAAACATGTCAATAATCTCCCCATAGAGCAGGCTGAGTGACAGGATATATGAGCCAATCCACCAGCTGTTTTTGACATCTTGCCAACTACAGACATCAACTCCAAGTAAGTAACATTCTTGAATTACAGCTACACTTTCACACAACAGTTATTTCAAGCCTGATCCCATTGGCTTACGGGGATCCGGAAATGTTTCAAAGGTGGTCTTTTACATAGAGAGAGAGGAACTGTGGTAAAAGGGAAGTAGGAGGGGAGGGGCAGGTGGAAGGCTACTATACAGCCAGTATCTCCCACCCTAAGCTGTGAGCACAGTCTTGGGTAACTCACGAGGTTCAACAAGGCCAAGTGCAAGGTCCTGCACGTGGGTCGGAGCAACACCTGGTATCAATATAGGCTGGGGGATGAAGGGATTGAGAGCAGCCCTGCCAAGAACGACTTCGGGGTGCTGGTTGACAAGGTCAACATGACCTGGCAGCGCGCACTCACAGCCCAGAAGGGCAACTGTATCCTGGGCTGCATCAAAAGCAGCACAGCCAGCAGGTAGAGGGAGTTGATTCTGCCCCTCTGGTCCACTCTGGTGAGACCCCACCCAGAGTCCTGCGTCCAGCTCTGGAGCCCTCAGCACAGGGAAGACATAGAGCTGTTGGAGCAGGACCAGAGGAGGGCCACAAAAATAATCAGAGGGATGGAACACCTCTCCACGGGAAAGGTTGAGAGAGTTGGGGCTGTTCAGCCTGGAGAAGAGAAGGCTGTGGGGAGATCTTACTGCAGCCTTTCAGTACTTAAAGGGGGCTTATAAGAAAGATGGGATAGGCTTTTTAGCAGGGCCTGTTGTGATAGGACAGAGGGTAATGTTTTTAAACAAAAAGAGGGTAGATTTAGACTGGATATAAGGAAGAAATTTTTTACAGTGAGGGTGGTGAAACACTGGAATAGGTTTCCCAGAGAAGTGGTAGATGCCCCATCCCCGGAAGTGTTCAAGTCCAAGTTGGACAGGGCTCTGAGCAACTTGATCCAGTGGTAGATGTTCCTGCTCACTGCAGGGCGGTTGGACTAGATGACCTTTAAAGGTCCCTTCCAACCCACACTATTCTATGGTTCTATGAATACTAAGATTCACACTTTGTTCTCCCAGATGTACTCACTGATCCAATTTTCTTGATCTGTGAAAATACAGGCCACTCATTTTAGCCATTTCTTGCTACTTGTCCCTGTTGACTGGGCTTGCAGTTTTCCAAGTATCTGCTGTACTTGCAAAAAATCAGTTTGTTCAGCAAAGTAATCTTTATCTCATTAATTAAAGGTCTTCTACGTAATGTAGTCTCCCTCCTCCTCTAAGGGTCAGAACCAGCGTTACCTGTGTGAGGGAGAAGTTATCCTTACTATACTTCAAGGCATTATACTGGCAGCTGTATTCTTCTCCACAAACACAATGTATGAAAATGCAAACAATATTTATTTCAAATGCAATTTAATGTTGCAAAGTATTACATGCTTTCCACAAACATTCAGCATACAGACTTCAATGGAGATGGAAAAAAGACCCCAACACCACTCCTTACATACTATTTATTGAGTTTTCGGTGACTGAAAATTGGGCGTTTCCCATCACTGAGAGCTAAACATCCTTTCTTAAATAACCTGAAGTTCAATATTCATGGAACGATGGAGATCACACGTCAATACACAGAATCTACCGTATGCTCAACACACTACTGCATCCAACTAATTAAACTAAAATACTAACTGAACCTTAGCACTAAGAACCCACTCACCTCCTGCCAGCAAGGGAAGAAAGCATTCTGGGGCTTTAAAACTTGACGGTGTATATACATCACCTTATACTCCAACAGAATACAGCTACTTGTGCGCATGTCTATTCATCTGTATGATCAGGGCAGTGCACAAACCCCTCTGTACGCCAATCACATACTTCTTTGGGTACTGTTATCATGAACCAGAGCCTTAGTCCAAAGTGCAATCTATAAAGCTGTGAATCTGGGAAAAACTGCATGTGTTTTGCTTTTTTGAAATAAATGTAGCTTTTGTCAGAACATATTAGTTAATATTAATTTAATGTAAAGTGCAGTAGCTACATCTAAAATCAGTGGGCTGCTGTTACAGTGAAATACTCCCAACCAGTTCTACAGCAGAGCTTTGAATATCAGATAGTGATCTTTGTCCACAGACTCTCCTATTAAGAGTATGAAGACTAGAGGTTAGTTAATAAAAATACAGGAGATGATTCTTGGCCTGTACCTGCATTCATTCACGTCTGCAACAGCTGAAAACACTACTGCTATTTTTAAAAAAATATAGAATTAGTTCTTTGTGAGCAGTCAGACTCTGCAGAGCAGAAGACAGCAGTTGACAGCAGGCTGATTAGAGCTGTTTGAGTCAGAGGTTGCTTTCAAACAAAATATTCAGTAGGAAGGCTCCAGTCATTTTGAATAGTACATTATGTCTGCAGTTACTAATTTCCCAAGCAATACTGAAAATAACTCATTTACCACAACATAATAATTTAGCAAACAATATAAAAAAGTCTTACCCAAAATGGGGCCATGTCAAGCATCAGCAACGTTAGCTGGGTTTCAGCCAGCAAGCCTATCTTTATAAGGATCAAACCATATGATTGCAATACCTGAGAAGTGTTTTAAACTGATCATTTCATAATTAGGAAGGAAGGAAAAGGAAAAAGCAGCTATGTTTGAAAGAGTAACAAACATTACTGTATGAATTTTTACAAACAAGTTTCATACAAAAATTATATGACTGTGTGTCCAAGAAACACGTTGCTCTCAGACAAATCCACTATACCATAGTACAGCGGTATACAATGCAGATTTATACGCGTATAAATCTACATTGTTCCACTGGACAGATTTTGCTGCTTTTATGATCTGTCAGTCAATCTGACAGTAGGCTACTTGCCTGCTTTGAAGTTCTCAAGAAGATAGTCATATCACCCACTAACAACTTTGCTTTAAGTGTAACAGTATACACCTTATCTCTTGTTTTCTAAGCATAAATGTGAATACAAAAGTTATCTGAAAGGTTTTACAATACTTGAAAGTTAATTCATCCCAAAGTTCTTGCTAAAAACCACTTTCTTAAAGAGGATACTGTATAGAGTACATTTTCACATTGATAAAAAAAAAAGTACAACATGAGACTTCTTAGCAAAGTACAGAAGAAATGGTATTTCCTGCTCAAATATTCAGAAATGAACTTTCACTTATTTATAAAAGTGTACATCCAAAGCCTCAACCCACTTGCAGTTCTGATATTAAGTGGAATGTAAGCAGACCTTATTTTCTCCAAGAATGCAGCTATTAGCAGCTACAATTCTTCTATTTGAAAAAACATTTCTGCACTTGACGTCATTTTTAAACAGACTTAGCATAAATTGCTTGCAAGAACCATAGCCATTCCTGAACCTCCACCCCAAAGTTGGATCTAGACATCCCTTACCTTTATAAAACAGGCTGAAAACAAACAGAAAACCTGAAACTACTATTCTTTTGTAAGAATGTAAGGCTCAGTGTCACATTTCATTGCTCACTGAAACCTAAGTCTTCAGCTTGGTTTTTAAGCAGTTATCTACTTTTGCCCCAAGTATAACTGGCAGAGCACTGGAGTATTTTCATGTCACTTTGCAATGCATTGGACAGAAGTTAACTCTCAAATTAGACATATGGCCTGGCACCTATGACTTTTTACAGTTTAATCATACTGTCAATCCATGCTGTCCTAAGCTCTTACTGAAGTTAATGTTCACACTTCTGTGTGAGCTTCAATGCCAAATTCAAGACCAAACGTGTCTGCAGAGGTAGAGAGGGATTTCTGTGACATTTCCCTAAGAGAGAAATATGCAGCATACAAAAGTCCACATTTTCACATATTCGGTGGAAATACAGAAAAAGTCAAACCCCTTGAACTCATATTTAGTTTTAGGGACTGAATCTTCTGTAAGTTGTTCCCTCATTTACACTGCTTAACTGCACTGATCCAGTTATACAGTTGCAAACACTTTGCACTGGACTCCTGTTGTACTTGGGGAAGTAACCACATACTCCCTGATCCAGCGTGATGCACCACCAGCCTCCTGGAGTTACACACCAGGCTGGAAGGAGCGCGTGCTTCTCGTGTGGCCACGTGCAACCACATCAAAATCAGAACTGAGAGGGACATAGCATGGCATGCATGCATCTTGGACTGGCTTCTTTTGCAAAGGTGGCCTTAAGCCAGAAGTTACAAAAGAAGTGAATCAAGCACCGGAGGTGACCTACTGCAGGAACATCATTCCTTGAACCTGGTATTTGGAAAGAGGTTTTATCAAGAGAAATGCTACACTGAAAACAGTGCAAAACAGAGCCAACCAGAGAAGCCAGTGGTTACTTTAGTGTTCAAGAGCCTCCACCTCCCTGCTCCCTCTCTCCCCTCCAAAGTGAGGAAAGAATACACTTGCCTCCCCTTTCTACGACACCTGAAGTGCTGCATGTCTTAGGAAAAACATAAAATACAACTCTAGTCATATATCTTTATTTAAATACTTTTTGCGCTGGAATGTCAGTAGAAACTCCATCCCCATTCCATGGCCAGCTTCATGTGATCTTCACAGGTGATTTCTCGTGTGCACAGAGGAGGGTGACGTAGGGAACCCCAATGAACGCCCATCTTTCACTGGGCCAGAACTTTATGACAGGGCCCTGCTCAGGGATCTCAGAGGCAGCATCGAAGTAAGCAAAGCAGACACAGCCCAGGTACGCCGCGAGGCAAATCAAAATGTGCCTGAGAATAGACACCCGCCAACCCCCCCACCACAAAAAGAAGAAAAAATCAGTAACATGACTTCAGTAAAGTAATCAAATATATCAACTATGCTTTAAAATCAGTCTATTCTTCACCTTCTTCCCCCGAGTACCCCATCAGGTTGCTGTCTGCCCTGTTCACACAGGCAAAGAATACAGAGAATAAGGAAAACTACTAAACCGTAGCTTATCTTTGGTCTAAACTGGCTGCAGCTTTCAGGCCTCTCTGCACCTGACAGATTTGAGTAGAAATGATGAAATATAGCACCTTGAATAAGAGAGCACAGTTTGCTGGGTGGTAAAACAAAAAAGGCATCAATGCCCTTCACTGCTCCCCCCACTTCACCCTCAGTTGTTAACGGTGGAAGTTTTAAGCTTTCAGTCACCGCTTCAGCTGAGCAGTGCTGTGGGATTTTTAGTAACCTGTAGGGCAAGGAATTCAGTCACAATTAATGAACTTAGTGTCTGAAGAATCTGTTCAGGCCAAAGAGACTCCTAAATGTGCCACCTTGGTTAGCGTGAGACTTGCTCTGGTCTTATAATCTTACCAGTAATTCTATCTAGCACTAACCAGAAATAGCCAGCAGGCAGCACAGAAGGGTAATGCGGTGAGGACATAGCACATTTGAATCAAACTGTGGAGTTTATACACAACACTTACCATACACAGTGCAAATAGGGGAAGTTAAATGAGGACCAGATCTCACAAAATGCTTTGTCGCTGATCCAGCAGAAAAGTGCTAGCATCCACCAAAGACCTGAAAAGAGACCCAGTTTGTACACACGCAGGTTTTCACACCTGAGGAGAAAATCACAAAGAAGTTGTTATAAAACAAACAAAATTTGCTTTGCAATGGCAGCTTGATGCTTTTTTGGCTGCACTTATTGTAGGGTAGGATTCACCATGCCAGGCATGCATCTTTTAAATGGCTCCACCATAAAAGTCCTTAACAGAGGAACTTTACTTACAGTAAATATGGCTCTGATGCAAGGCAGTGGCGAGCTGACAAAACAAACCTTTTAATCAGTAGTTATGTTTTGGGAATTGTCTTAAATACCAATGTGCAAATATGGGAATGATTTGATATTTGCCCACCACCTAGGAAGCGGTATCTAGGACAACCAGTGATTAGTTACACATGCTGTCCATAACAACCAGCCACACAGTAAGTGCTCAGATTTGTTCGTATTTGTCACTATCTAAAGATTGGTAAAAAAAGGAACCACATGAGGTTTTTAATTGGTTAGTTGATTTTTTTCCCCAAGTTAGTATTCTACAATGTAACAGTTCCAGAGAAATTCTAAGGTAGGAACCTCTAGCCAGAGGGCCCAAAGCAGCATGCTTTAGTTGATGGTGCAGGCATCCACATCTCAGACAGAATTCCTCATGTTGACTAAGCTGCAATTCTCTCCCTCCACAAGAAACCGAATTGTTCATATAGAGGTATACCAGAGAGAAAGAGAGCACAAAACATTTGCTGTGGTCACATGTAGTGTGGTCTGCAGTTGACCATCACTGAATACAACAGCAGATGCCAGGATACTTGCACAGCACTACATGTGTTGCAGGTCTACTCAAAAGCTCACAATTTTATTTCCTTATATGATTCTTTGTTCTTTTCCACATCTTGGAACTATCCTAACAACTGTGCAGCTTTGCTCAAAAGAGTAAAATCAGATAAAAGGAGGCATCGATATAATTTTCATGTTCCAAAATGCTATTAAAGTCAATAGTTTGCTGTCTACCTACACTTGCTATTTTGGGGTTAGGCCTCTTGGTGCCAGTAGACACAGCTATGCTGTTACTGATATCTATAACGCAAAACTAGACGGGGACGTGACCAGCCCTATGTGGCCAAGGCAAGGCATGGCTCAGCTCCCCTGCCTTCTGCAAGAACAAAGCTATGACTGGGGATTTCCCCTCCTGCTTTTTTTTGTTCTTGTTGTTGTTCAACTCTTAGTGAATTTCACAGGGGTCTGAGAACTGTTCAGCGATAGGACCTCCCAAAGCACTCCCACATCTAATAATCAGATGACAGAAGACTTTGCTTAAAGTGACTTGTTCGAGCTACATCTCAAGGGTAAACTGGTAAGCCAAATCTCTAGCCAGTATAACAAGCATTACTCAGCCTTCATCAGGGTTATAGGCCCCGGTCTTCCCCCTCTATATCCTAGAAGAGACAAAAGTCAATACCAAGCACCCCACAATCTCTTTCTCTGTCCCAAGGTCTTCAAGAGGAGTTCCCCTAATCCACACTCATCTTCTATCATCATCTCAACCTCTGCCAAAAAGTTATTGGAAATGTCTCCATGCCTCTTCCTCTCCAGCAGATCACCAGCCAACCTTTCTGCCTGCTCCAATCCAGCCACCCCAGTAGACTTGACACTGAATCACCAGTCTTTTTCCACACAATTCTTGGGCTCATCCACTGCATCTGGAAGGTGAGCAATGCCTGGCAAACAGGTCCTTTAAAGGGACACTTCACCCTGTGACACTCAGAAGCAATTAGAATGTGTATCGCTGGAAGAGGGAGCTATAACAGGCAAACACATCTTTATCGTGTGTGCTGCAGTACTGTTTATGGCCCGTGATCTTCCTTACACATGACTATCCTTGACATCTGACTAACACGGTGCAGCACAGACCAAAAAGCAATTTGGTCCTTCTGTCTTCCACACAAAATGCTTGTCAGCATGAAACCTGTTTTCTCATTTGATACATTTACAGAATTCTAATTTTTCCAACATTTCCCACTAATTGTATCCATGGCCACACACAGCCTACAAGCCACGGGCTACCCTGCATTCACTGTCAGGGAAGCAGCAATGCCAGCTCCATCCCCAAGCTAAAATTTGTAGTTACACTCTTCAGCACGTGTGAGATAATCTTCGACTACTCAGTTGGAGGACAGGGGCAGAGAATGACTCCTGCCTCTCTGCAGTGGAAAAGCAGAACTGCCACTGGTACCGGAGCTTTGCTAAGGGATCCTAGCTAAGCATTCATAAAAATTAAAATCATACGCAGGGTGCTCTGTCCAGGAACACATTTCTGAATGTATTGCAGGAGCAGCAGTATACCTGGCTCTAGCGTACTGCAAGCTAAAGAATTAGTACAGTTTTCCCTATGGGGCATTTTTTTCACTCTTGAAAAGCTATTTCAGTGGACATTTTAACGGGCATTTGGGATTAAGAAACTCCTAAGGCTGAGTAGAAGGCACCTTTACAGCTACTGGATTAATGACACAAAAGCTATCAACTGCCTAATCTTGTTCACAGAGGATTTTCTCCAGTGTCCTTCATACAAGTTGGTTTTTGGATCTGCTGTTTCTTTTTTAAGCCATCTATAAATAATGTCACATTCAAAATCATCACACCTTCTTATTCAAAAAAGTACTTCAGCTATTGGCTAAACTGTCACCTCCTCCAAAAGAAAGATATCACAATTATTGTTTTCATAACAAAAACACCCACATGACTGCTGCAAAACTTAATACTCCATGTAGCACATAAACCAAAATGGCTTTTTTCTTAGGCCTGAATCCTCCAATCCACTTGGAAAACCACCAATACATAGACAGAGGAGACACGGCTTGCCCAAGATGGCTTTAAGATTGTCTGTGCTGCATACTGTAAAAAAGGCTTGCTTCTCTGAAGTAGTGTCTTTACGTTTAAAAAGGCTACAAGAAGCACAAACAAAAGAAAGGGTAAAGAGATTTTTCAGTTGCCTACCAAGTGCCAGAGCATAGCTACAAGAATTCTTCCTTACGCTCTTTCATGAGACACCTCAGTAAGAAATACATCCAAGATTTGGCAAAGTTTTATCAGTAAAGCTATACTGATAAATCCTCCTCATTTTGGAGGATTCATGCTTCTCCCAAATGGCTAGACAGCATGGATCCCTTCACATAAGAAGAAGGAAAATTGTTATTGATGAAAAACCACTCCTGTATTAGGCATACTGGGCTTAATTCTTGCCCATTAATGCTAAGGCAGATTTACAGTCTTCAGTGAGACAAGTAACTGTTGGTAACAGCAAGATCCTTAACTCAGTACCTAAGTGGACACATGCATGGATCAATTTTGTACATTTGACACATAAACTAAACTGCTGTGATGGGTACTTGTACATTCTGACAGAGGAAATGGTACGTACATTGAAAACACAGAGGCTTTCCTGGACTTGTTTGAAGGACTTAAACAAACGTGCAACAGTATCCCATTTAAGATAATAGGCTTGGCCTCAAGCATCCAGCTCCTTCCGTCAGTGACCATGCCTGTCAATACCTGACTAGTCTGCACACCAAGAGGAGAGGACAATTAACCTGCGTGGTTCAAAGAGTTCAAGGCTGCAAACGAAAACTGAAAGCTTACTTAAAGAAACTTTCCCAATGCAAGATCAGCCACAGAAATGGTACAGATAGTAATGACAGGTTTGCTCAGTACCACCATCAGGTACTGCAATTTATTTTTATAAACTTAATACTAGATGCTGCAGGGTGTACTGCAAAAGACTACTCTAAGACAGAAAGAGTCAAGCACAATGAGGAGAGCACAGCCTGCTGATCTGTACAATACTCCCTGGTTTTCTGTGATCACCCATCAGAGTCTTCAGTTCCTGCAGTGACTGTGCTTTGGATGGGCTGAGGACATGCTTGCTGAGGAGACAGGGGACTGCAAAGCTTCCTGCCTGCCACTGCTTTTACCATGATGAGGAGATGTAACGCATCTCAATCATAATGCATCAATCTGCTTGAGGGTAGGAAGGCTCTGCAGAGTGATCTGGACAGGCTGGATCAATGGGCCAAGGCCAGCTGTATGAGGTTCAACAAGGCCAAGTGCTGGGTCCTGTACTTGGGTCACAACAACCCCGTGCAACGCTGCAGGCTTGGGGAGGAGTGGCTGGAAAGCTGGCCAGCAGAAAAGGATCTTGGGGACACTGGCTGACAGCTGGCTGAACATGAGCCAGCAGTGTGCCCAGGTGGCCAAGAAGGCCAACGGCATCCTGGCTTGTATCAGGAATAGTGTGGCCAGCAGGAGTAGGGAGGTGATTGTGCCCCTGTACTCGGCACTGGTGAGGCCGCACCTCGAGTACCGTGTTCAGTTTTGGGCCCCTCACTACAAGAAAGTCACCGAGGGGCTGGTGCGTGTCCAGAGAAGGGCAACAAGGCTGGTGAAAGGTCTAGAGAATAAGTCTTATGAGGAGCAACCGAGGGAATTGGGGTTGTTAAGCCTGGAGAAGAGGAGGCTGAGGGGGGACCTTACTGCTCTCTACAACTACCTGAAAGGAGGTTGTAGTGAGGCAGGTGTTGGTCTCTTCTCCCAAGTAACTAGCGATATTTTGAGAGAAAATGGCCTCAAGTTGCAGGGGAGGTTTAGATTGGGTATTAGGAAAAATTTCTCTACTGCAAGGGTTGTCAAGCACTGGAACAGGCTACCCAGGAAAGTGCTGGAGTCACCATCCCTGGAGGTGTTCAAAAAACGTGTGGATGTGGTACTTTGGGACATGGTTTAGTAGGCATGGTGGTGTTGTGTTGATGGTTGGACTTCATGATATTAGAGGTCTTTTCCAAACTTCATGATTCTATTCTTTGAAAAAATACCACCTGGATGCTGGCAAGAGACATGGACTCAACCCATTTCTTTTATTTCTCAATAGACAAGGGCACTGATCATTTAAAGTACCACTGAAACAGTACCTATCAGATGAGCGTCTAAAAGAGCTGTTCATGCTGCTGTCTGCAGATCTGTTACATGCTCCTACCCCACTCCAGTCTGAAAGAAATTGGACCCCACAAAGCTTGCAATTCCTTTGGTGCCTTTTACCTATACTTTGCACGGTGTTCTCATAACAGAGACAGCAGCTACTTAAATACCAGAGTTTCTGCAAAAACTGGTGTGCCCCAGCCATTTACTATTCAAGGGACTGGGCTGGTAAACACTTCCAGCAGCTTTATCTTCCGAAGTCATGGCACTTCCAACAAAACACACCAGCTTTTCTTCAAACCAGTGCAAATTGCTGGATGTTGATTAATTGATTGATTCATTTTGACACAGGTATCTCCCTTTATACCCTCAGGAATATTTTCAACTTCTAACTAGCTTAACCTTTCAGTCAAGGGAATAAGTGAACTGTGAGCAACCTGCAACAATAAAGCAGAGCTCCCTCACAGCCAGATTTCTAGTAGGAGAATCAAATATGGATGGGCAGACCTAAAGCTAGGGTAAACCTTCACTGCTCATGGCTCAGATGTCAGCTGAGCAACGATATTCTAGCATCTGTCTGTACATGGAGATAGTCATATGGCTTATGGTAACTCATTAAATCATACTAATTTGATGACATTATAATCTCAATGGCTATTTGGCTTGGACCAGCAAACCAAAGATTCACATCCACTTTCTGCCAGATACCATCCCCTAGGAGAGCTTTTTTTTTTTTTTTTTAATGAAAAACACGAAGGGATTTGTTTGGACAGAAATAAGTGTAAAGTTTAACAATTTCTTTGTCTTTCAAGGACAAGCATGCACCTAACTACCTTATTCTCTTTTGATCATCTTCCACCCACAATACTTCCTAGCATACACTCTACCCTACCAGCTCTGCATTTAAGAACAAAATGCTCTTTTGTGACAATATTATCTCCTCATCAAGAACAAATAAGAGGTAGAAAATTGTGATTTGAAAACACAGTGGTTCTGATTCATCAGAATTCTGCATAAGATTGACACCAGCCTAGAAAAAGAGTAACAACAAGGAGTTTTGGTCTAACACATCACAAACTTCAGCATGGGACAGAAGAAGCTACTCTGGAGGCTCTTCTCCTTCCTCCCCCAAATACCTGTTTCACATAGAAATTTCCACTGCAGACTGCCAGGACTCTGAGGTATAGCCCTTTACTGACTGTGGTAGTAGAGAATGGGAGAATCACAGGCATTTTAAATAATACTTGGATTAATTTTTCTCCTGCAAAAAGGGATGACATGACTCCTCTCCTCTGGGTTTACAAGAATAGATCTCATTTAAATCTCCTAGGGATCAGCATAGCTTAAAATAAAACCTTTAATTATTTGCCTTTTACACTTAGGAATTAATCAAAAAATATTATGAGTATTACATCACCCCAATGAACAATTAAGACAGCCATATGTCACTTCAGGTCCCTTTTTAATCACCAACTCAAAAGAAGATTTGTCTGTGTCCTTAATTCTCTCCCAAAAAACAGGCAGTAAAACTCCACACATTTTAGTAAGGTATGACCTTTCAGAAGGAGTTTTAAAGAGCAACTACCTGTAGGCATACCAATTGCTAGATTTGACGCGATTGTACTCAAACTTATGAGACACTAACTATTCGTCCTTTAAAGTTTCTCAGGAGCTTAAGCCTGGAAAACTGATATGTAGAGAGTTCACATAAATTATTCAGTGCCACAACCAGATCCTCATTTGCCCTGTCAGTAGTTCCTTGGTGTTCCCATCAAAATGAGACACCTCAACCAACATTCTTCAACTATGACCTTCTTGTCTACAACGAACTCATGTACTGTTTCCTGAATTTCTTTGACCACAGAAATATATGCTGCTTAGCAGCATGTCTAATGAGAAAAGACTCATGAACATCTTTACAAAACATTGTTAGCAGAGGCTTCCACTAAACGGAGAAGTAGTGGCAGAATAGGGTAAGGTAGCCAACAGGAGAATCTCTGTTCTAACAGGAGCAGTTAGAAGGCAGACATTTGGTCCTATTCTTGTTTCTTTTGATGGACATTTACATATGCAATATGTAAGATACAACAAAAGTTGTAAAACACTTCTCAGACACTGGACAAGTCGGGGAAAGGACAAGAGTGAATGCTGGTACTTGTATGGTTCATTATGCAGTGGGTGAAGAGATGCAAAAAAAAAAGCCTCTAAACAGCTGCTTGTATTGTTATCATGGTAGAACTCTTCAAAATGTTAAGATCACACTCAGGTTCTTCCCTATTTGCACTCTGGTTTTACAGTTTCTAAGGCCTTGACTGATAACTATGCTCTACAGCCTAGTGATTAACCTTGTCTTTGGCAGTCTGACTCTGTCATATTATCCATGTCAGAAAACAAACCGTATGAAGTTCAACAAGGCCAAGTGCAACGTCCTGCATGTGGGTCGGGGCAATCCCAAACACAAGTACAGGCTGGGCAGAGAGTGGCTCGAGAGCAGCCCTGAGGAGAAGGACTGCGGGTACTGGTGGATGAGAAGCTCAACACGAGCCAGCAACGTGCGCTTGCAGCCCAGAAAGCCAACCGTATCCTGGGCTGCATCAAGAGAAGTGTGGCCAGCAGGTCGAGGGAGGTGATTCTGCCCCTTCACTCTGCTCTCGTGAGACCCCACCTGGAGTACTGTGTCCAGTTCTGGAGCCCCCAACACAGGAAGGACATGGATGTGTTGGAGCGGGTCCAGAGGAGGGCCACAAAGATGATCAGAGGGCTGGAGTACCTCTCCTACAAGGACAGGCTAAGAGAGTTGGGGCTGTTCAGCCTGGAGAAAAGAAGGTGCCGGGGTGACCTTATAGCAGCCTTCCAGTACCTGAAGGGGGCCTACAGGAAGGATGGAGAGGGGCTTTTCACAAGGGTGATAGCACAAGGGGGAACGGCTTTAAACTAAAAGAGGGCAGGTTTAGATTAGATATTAGGAAGAAATTATTCACTATGAGGGTGGTGAAACACTGGAACAGGTTGCCCAGAGAAGCTGTGGATGCCCCCTCCCTGGAAGTGCTCAAGGCCAGGTTGGATGGAGCTCTGAGCAACCTGGTCTAGTGGAAGATGTCCCTGCTCATGGCAGGGGGGTTGGAACCAGATGACCTTGAAGGTCCCTTCCAACCCTTAACATTCTATGATTCTATGATTCCAAGACTCTTTGAGAGCTTGAACATCTTCTACACATGCTTGGGCCTTGCTACACATTCCGCCCAGTATCCAGACTGCAATCATGCTATCATCTCACCCTTATGCAGACTATGCAGCAGAAATGCTGTCATTAGAGTGAAACCCTTGCCCTGATTCCACAATAAACAAATTTGAGTGAGATGAGGTTGCAGCAAGAGATAGGCTGCAAGAAGATAGACAATGTCTGACCTGATATGATGGCCTAGGTGGGAAAAAAAACTCAACCTTGCAAAACCATCCAAACTGTCAAAGCAAGTTCATACCAGACCTGCACTTGCATGTGAGAGAAGCATTTCTGATCTGCTATCACGAGTACTGATGCCAGATCTAGTATATCATCACACAGTCGCCTAAGGATTTCAGAAGACAATGCTGCACTCAGGAAAAATTAACTCACCTCTTCAACTCCGCAATGAGCAAAGCTGTGCAGGGAACACCCAGAGTCATTAGCGAGATGTTGTTGATGGCAGGCTTAATGAAGGCAAGGCAGGTAGTAACTCCAGACAGGACACCCACAGCAGCTTTAAATCGGCTCCTGAATAGGGTTTTTGGGGGGAGAAAATCTGCTTTTAATTCAAAACTTTTAATTACTAAAATCAGAAATCTTAAAATGATTTTCATAATGTAACAAAATTTAGGTTTCTCTAGGTGTGTTCAGGAGGTGCAATGATAATGTGCATACAATGGATGTGGATCTTGCACAGATTTGCATGTGCATCCACAGTTAATGACACATACAAATCTTTGCTGGACTGTGGTCTTCTGAAGCAGCCATGCGTATGAATACATATGCGTGTGCGCACATACTAATCACTGGTTTCAAAATTCAAAGGCCACACTCCAATCTTCCTCCTCCCACGGTAAGTGAGGAACAAGTCCACCTCAGCACACTCAGCACTGTACTTCTCTAAGCAGTGTTGTGCCATCATTCTTCATGTTTTTAACATGGATTTTTAGGACATTTTGTTACCATTAATGCCCCAACTTCTATAGTCATAATACAGTCTGTTTAACTGTTGTTTAAACTTCAAGTTTGGACTCTAAACCACCCATTTCTAGTCTGTGGAAGGACAGTGGCAGACAGAGGATCATCACGCTGCCCTTCAGCTACTGGCCCACAGCTTTATGAAACTGGTTGCTGTACAAGGATGGCTCTTCTGTCCTTAATTCTATGTCTGAAGTAGGCTCTCTGTATACTTCTACACCACCACTCCCTGGCCACAAGTCTCATCACCTTCACCTAGCTTGTTTCATCTGTCTTTTGCTTTAAAGTTTTTCTTTCTACTGGAAGGCAACAAGTTATTTAAGTAGGAAGTTCTGATCTGACGTGAATGCCTTAATGACTAAAGACACCACAAACTGGTCATGGTAGACAGTAACATTTGCAGCATTGAAAATCCAGAGTATGATGAGGATGAAGAAAGTGAAGACCACAGCAGTGAGTACAGGATAGGTATAATATTAGAGGATCAGCTAGGCAAAGCAAAAAAACCCCCAAAATACAAACCAAACCTGTTCCAGGTTAGGGTTTGTTGCCCAGTTTGTCTCCTGTACACTTCAGGAAGGAATCAAGATCTTAACATGTAGCTGCCTTGACAGACTCTCAGGAAAAAATCTTGTGAGAAATTTAGAATAGGGAACATCCTTCACCTTATGTTAGTATTTTTATGAATCCATTACAACCTGGGAGATTATTATTTGTAGTTTTAACACCAAGTTCACTCGAAACAGGATTTCATATAAAAAGTGTTACTATTCCTTTTACAAAGGATACAGTTTAACCTCTTGGCCCATACTACAAACCTACACAGCACACTATCAGAAGATAGTGACAGATGACATAGAACGATCCCCTTAGGCTTCTGAGGAAGAATTTACATGCAATCACAGAAATTCTTCAAGACTTTGAAATCTTCTTCACTTGAACTAGATGTCTAAAAGTTAAGTCATCGACCAAAACACCCCAGCTTGTTGTTTGCTTGTTAAGTTGATGGTGTCCATATAATAGCACTGTGTCGCAATATGCAGAAGTACTAAATTCACACCAACGTGACAAAGCCACTAGACTACATAGACTGTACACAGTAATTCAACATATAGCTGTCTCAGTGCAAGCCATTTTTTTAAGAAATGGTCAACACAGACACCAACCGTCTCTCCCCCCCATCCCGTATCCCCCAGGAACTTCTAATCAGCCATATGTCAAGGAAAAAAAAAATATGAAAAAACCCCAGACAGTACCAGCACAAGAAGGCAAGAGCCAGCAGTCTTAGCAATTTTCAGAGAGAACACTGGCGCTGCAATTCAATCTTCTCCATTACCTCAACTATTTTACTGCTTAAAAGACCAATATGTATAAAGATTACAGCTCAGTTTTTTTAGGGGGGTACAAACCACAACCAGATTCTTTAAACTGGTTACGGCATGCTTTTTTTAAGCCTGCAAGAAAAAAAATTCCTTTTACCGCAACAACAGGCTTCTAAACAAACATTTAGCCTTTGAATACTTAAACACCATCCTTACTCACTGTCTTAAATATTCAGATGAAAATTCAGCTGACTTCTATAGGCCCACTTGTAGGTTTCTCTTACTTTACTTTAGCTGCAAGTTATATAAACTACTCCTGTAAAGGTCTCCCTAGAATCAACAAGAACAGGTGAGAAGTAAGTCACCTTATCTCAAGATCTGAATTTACAGGGCATAAATGCCACCATCAGCAATGGTAGGCTCAGGAATTCTGAACAAAATGGGCTGAGATACCAGCAACAGGAAAAGAATAGAACGAGAAAATATAGCGGTGGTAGTGGTAAGGCTGGATGATAACTCACTGCCTTTATGTGCAGGTTTATGTGTTAGCACAAGAAGTTTCAAGAAACATGAAAGTGTACATGTATGGTTGTATGATTACCTGTCATTCCGAAAAACTCTGGGCAGGTATCTCCTAGGGAACCACATGGCAAGAGCACACATCAGGACCCAGAGAACAGCCAGCTCATCCAGCATCTGGCCCAGGAAACTGAGGGTGGCGTGAAAGTAAACAGATCCAATTCCTGAAAGAATCAATCAAAAGGCAATATGAACAGTTGCAGCACTGTATAGACTGAAACACACTGCTCATGTTCAGAACTTCATAGCAAATGCTGGATACCATTTGGTCTAGAAAAGGTTAGAAAACTGGAAAACAAATGCCAATTTTCCCTATGGCAGCAATCCAAATCATCAGCACCCCATTAATTCGGAAGCAAACACATTACAAAAGCAGCAGCTAAAGATACCAGCTCATACTAGAAAAATAGATGTATGTGAAAAAAACATCAGATGGTAAAGTTAAATGCAAAACCAATTAAGAAGTAAAAGCCAAATGCTGCTTCTGAATTTTCTCAATCGCACAAGAACGGGCCAAAGGTGAAAAGCAGCATCCGACAACTACTCCATGATACAGGTTTACAGGTGGAAAGTGTCACATGGCCCCACAGGGCTCTGATTATCCCTCTAAAAGTTCATAGTGCTTCCCAGAATGAAAAAGCTTAAGCGTCTCACATCTACAAAATACCTAAGCCTTTGGGCCTTCTCACTACAGTTCAAAACTCGTCATCCTCTTCAGTTGTGCTAGGCAGTTTCAGCTCTCATTTAAGCAACAGCAACAGAGGAAGTGGGGTGAGCAGTACTGTAGCATGAGCCCAGACATAAACAAAAGAAGTTAGTCAAAGGAAGGATAGGAAGGGAACAGAACTAAAGCCTAAGTTCCCACCAACCTCAAATTGCAAAGGCATTTTCCTTTCAGAAACTAAGGCTGCTTCAGCTTCAAACCAGTACAAGCAAACTCCTCTGTAGATGTCTGGGTTGCTTTGTTTCACAAAACAATCAAGCGCAAGCAGGAAAAACTGATTTCCTCTCTCAGTTCATGCATGAGCAGGCAAACAGAGGCTAACCAACTTACCAACCACGACTAGCAGAGTCCATATTAAATATATTCCACTGTTGAAGCAGGTTGCATATTGACGGAACAAGCACATACATATAGGTGGTAAAACAAAAAACAAGACGTTGCTTATCTAGGAGGAAAAAAGAGACCAGTATCACAAGGACAGAAAATAAACAAACTTTAAATATTCATAGGCTGCCTAAGACATCTAATAAAACCTTTATGTCATCCACTGAAGCCCCTGCTCAACAAATTCTGATCCTCAGCTTCTGCCAAAGCGGAGCTGTTTTTGCAAAGCATCCACCTGTTTTGTTTAACATCGTTAAACTAATGGCATAAAAACTTTAAGCAACATAAAATGTGGCTAGTTGCATCTTTAAAATACCTTTCATGGCTATTCCTAGAAGAATTTTACTGAGAGTCTACAAATACTCAAGACTGTTGCCATTCCGGAAGCCTACAAGGGCAAGCAGCTGAGGAACACGATGTCCTGGCAAGTGACTGCCCTCTCAGTGGCTGTTAAGACTAGCACGGGAAAAGCACTAGAAGTTCTGGCACTAGACAGGGCTAGTCAAGCTTTGTCGAAGTCCAGTCACTGAGCAATAGTTATTGTCTGGAAGGTCTGAAACACAAAGCTAAGCTAAAAGTAGGACTGTTTTTGTGCAGGGTAAAGAGAGCCTGAAGCCGTAAATTCTCTTACATTTCATTTTTTATCCTGGTTCTCCATTACAGAAACAACTGAATATGACTGAAAACTAGCTACAGGAAAGTGGAAGGACTGATAATTCAGACCATTGCTAGCTTTTTTTAATTTGATATGTAAGAGTTGAACAAGGACATGTTTTCTCTTGCTCACCAACAATCCAAAGCATGATTCTCTAGTTAAAGGCTAAAACACCTTACTGGCAATTAGCAGGAGCTGTGGCTGTAGTGATCCCTTGGTTCTCCCCAGAAGGAGCTGCCAGTGCTGAGGGCCAGCAGTGGCACTGTAACTGAGCAGTTACGGAAAGACTACTGCTGCTTCACAACAGCAGAGAGGACATGATGAATTCCCCAGCCTCGGCTTCCTCATATTCCCCTGCCTAGCCCAAGTGCAAGAGAAAATCAACTCCAGCAACATTCTCCTAAAGTGGATGTAGAAAACAACTCTGGGACAAGAGCACTCCTTTGGGACAGATCCCCTCTTTGCAGAGACTTACAAACTTTTATTGACATTAAGGAAAATCCAGTGGAGAAAGGATTCAAGAGTGACATATGAAGAAGGCATTTGTTCATTCAGCTACTGTTGCCCACCACTCAACATGGTCTGAAAACAGATTTCATGATGATTAAAATGGGTACATCTCATTTAACATTAGCAAGGCTCATCAAAACATACCCCTAGGCTGGCATTCAAAAAGACAATAATTACAGAAGCAGTTTCTCAGCACCATCTACCTCATGCCCGACACCTCCCTCATGCTAAAGGTACATCCTCACAGACAAGCTGCATTTCCTTCCAAAGTCTTGATTTCAATCCAAAGTCTAAGATTTCATTAAAGTACTTAGGAAGAGCCATCACCCACGCAGTTCATAGCTGCAAATACTACGCAAATCTCTGGTAACAGCACACAGCCCAAGCAAAGACTTGCTAATGCAGAGGGCTCCTTGCAGTCACGCCACAACACCCACCAGTCACAGCAGGGAATGGTGCCAGAGAGCCACCTCCCGCTGGACTGCCCTTTCTGAACCCATGCAAGGGTTGAATCCTTTTCCCAATTACTAGCTCCTGCGCTGTGTTTTGCCACGTAGGAAGCCAGCCTCATAAACCAGATGTGGAAAACCTGCAGGGGCACCAGCTGATGAACAGTGCCATAGACAATGTATTTCTTCCGCACGAGTAAAAGGACTCTTCTTATGGAAATCCTTTGGCCCACCAAGGTGGCAAATTTTGCCTTTGTCGTTCACAAACTAAGATGGCAGAAGGCTGAAAACAGGGGCACCTGGCAATGTCAGAGGCTATTACCAGATTTTAAGAGGCAGATCAATGTGCTTCATCCATGTAAAACAACCTATACATTCAACAAAACAGTCTCACTTGAGCATCTTCCATTCACGAGAAACCCACCAGCTCCGTGCAGCAGAGACCGTTAGCAACACTGGGAATACAGCCATGGACCAGGATCCCAGTGTGCCATGTGCTGAACCCCTCCCAGAGCGGGAGGTCTCCCCTCGCCCCAAACAGGTAGTAAGCATACACATTGACTGGTAGCAGGGACAATGGAATATGAAGACGTCCTCTGGGGACCTCAGAGTGCTCTACACATTTTACGCTTTTAGCCAGAGTTAGGCCAAAGAGAGGTGTCAAGGGAAAAAACCATACGGTTATAAACAAAGTGGTGTGGAAGAAAACCTTTCCATCTCTACAGCTAGAACTGGCCAACAAAGAAAATCAGACTGGATAATTGCAGTCTATAAAAATTTGGCTAGAAAGTTCTTTTTCTGCCTAGGAACACAATGACAAAGGACACACACCTACTTACCACACCTGCAGCAATGCAGGTTTATACTGGCGATTAGACAACAAGGGAGCAGTTCTGCCCTACAGCAGTTCTCTTCTGGCAATGAACTCCCATTCATGCTAAGGTCCTGCCTGCAAATGCAAGAAAACCTTTGCAACCTGGAGCTCGGCCATGCCTTGTACTCTTTGCAATGGCCACCAGGACAATTTTCCAATATCGTAAAAGTTGAAATAGTTTTAGTACTGAAATTCTTTTCTATTAAGGTTACAAAGTATGTGATAATGCTGTATCTCTCATGCGATAGCTTAGTTCTGTTTCTCATGTTCCACAAATAATATTTTCCACAAGGAGATCACAGATCACAGAATAGTAGGGGTTGGAAGGGACCTCTGTGGGTCATCTAGTCCAACCCCCC